TTCATGATTTCACGAAACATGTGACGTGTCGCTGGACGATTACCATTTTGTCTGCATGCTAGTCAGGACACATAGACTGAAAAAGTGCTCGTGGCACCTTTTGATGTGCCAAAAAAGAATTTCGCTATGTTATACAAAGTGTGTCAACGAAAATTTCACTGCCATGAATGTCGCAAGCCTCCCAATGCAAGCGCAACATGGAAAATTTCCAATTTAACCATGTTTACAGCCCTGGGCATTACTTTATTAAGACAATGTTCAAATATCCTATTTGTGCCAAATCATATTGATGAAAAAAACTGAATTTTGTCTTTTGCTATTTCAAAGTAAGAGATGCTGCAAGTGTTGCATATAGAAATGCAATATTACATTATGGCAAGTTCTACAGGACAATGCACTTGTCATTTAAGTATCAACAGAAATCTGGACTGAGGTCTGATAATTCAGGAGGCAAGGTGAAGTATAGATTCCAATCAAGGCTAGATAAGGCAGGTTGCGGCGTAGATGTCCCTATTAAAGACCATAAACCATCAAGACCCTACACATATGCATGCAGCGGAAGCAAATTGTTATGCATTCGAATACGAATTTAAACTGAATTTTTGCGATGGTTGAAACTATTAAAATACCAAAGAGGTTGTACCCTAAATTGAAAAATACAAACAGGGCAAATGGAATGTAGGGAAAATGATAGAGAGAAGCAGTTTTAAAATCGGTGTGCGATTATTATTAGTTGTTCTTTGCACTTGTGGCCAAAATGCGAAACATCACCAGAATCGCACAAAGCAAAGACATTACGTCTAGTACCTTAAGAAAAAAAAGAGCAACAGTTTAAAACGATGCAAAGCTAAGCAGTACAGGCAAGAAAACTGATGCAGCATCGATAAAGTGCGCACAAAACAGAGGCATTAGATAAGCACCGAAAGAGCAGCGAGTTTCCAAAAGCATGTCATAATTTCAACCGTCACCACAAAATGTTTAAAATGGGTTCTGGCACGGGAGTGGCTTTCTTAGTAATTTATATGACCCAACATCTACAGAGTGCAGATACTAAGTAAATGAACAAAATGTGCCGAGGAAGCAGAAAAGAGTATGAGCTGGCTAATTCTGGCCCCAAAAACCACGACAAGCTAACAACGTAGAATTTGCGCATTAAATACAACTTGAGGGAAGTTTCAACAGCAACAAAAGCTCGTAAGCCATAAATAAACGAGATATATGACATGAAATGTATGAAGAAGAAGAGGAAAAACAAAATGGGCACATTCTTAAAACAGCAACAGAAAACACAAGAATATAAAAATTAAAAAAGTGTCATCATAAACAGACAAAACCAGTGTGCGAAAAAAAAAAAGCATAAAAGATCGGAGATCTTTGCTAATGAGTGTTGAAACAATACATACAACAAATATAGTACACCGGAAAGCATGAAGCAATACACATACTTAATAATTTAAAAACTCTGCTGCCCACACTGATAAAGTTTTTTTTTTTTAACATATCTGCAAGCCAAGATCTCGACATAACACAACTTTCATATTAAATGTAGAATACAAAATGTTGTATGTATAGACCTTTTTACTGAAGGCTCCCTGGGTGCCGCCATAAGCCCCTTTGGGCTGTTGTTAACCCGTGTTATTAACATGCGTGACCCCCCCCCCAAAAATGCAGGGCCGAAGCTGTGACGTCAGCTTTTGTACTCCCGTGCAACAGCCCAGAAAAGAAGGGATCTTCTCCGTTGCGCACGTCTATAGCTGGCTCATAATATTAAAACAAAGAGCAAGGACCTGTTCCTTAAGCCTGAAAATTTAAGAGGGAAAACTTGCTAATGAGTTGGTCGGTCTGACATATTGACTAATCATGAATTCTGTCTAGACGATGTATGTATCTTTGTTAATTTTGAGAATTAAATGTAGCCAAAGATCCGAGATGAATGCACATTTGCAGAGACAACGTGCAAACTATGGTGCCCTCTAGCGGTCTAAAAAGAGACTAAGACGGCAGTACACCAGCACATTTACGTGAATTGCAACCCGTCCTTCTGCATTATGTTCAGAACGGTACAGGACTGACAAGCTTCGGCACGTGCTAAGAAAGCCACCTAAGTGCATTCTAATTTATGATACGAGCCCAGCTGCGACAGCAAGTTTTCCTGGTTGTACAAGCATTAATCGAGTGCTTTCTCAAGACACAGCTAACGCCAATAAGCTTCAAGCTCCAGAATGTGACAGCTCGGCTTCATTAGAAAAAACATTTTTTCATGCAGCACACCATCTTTCGGCAGGAAGCCATTGGTTAGGTTAGGCTTAATATCCCAGCAAAAAGTGATTGTGCACATAACAGCACCACTTTCCCATCACTGTTCACTCCCGTCACTTACAGCAAGGACAATTGCAGCCAGGGAAATCTGTAACTGTGAAGCATCAAGGCATAACAAGCACCTGCAAAGATATCTCGAGACATCTGGTAACCATAGAGTGAGAACGAGCCAAAATGACTTCAGTTAATTCTTCACAAATGACAACATTAAAGAGCAAACCAGCATGGAGGCTGACATATAATGAACGACTGAATCGAGCTGGCCTGAAGTGCTGAAGGGACACTACAGAGGAGTAAATAGGTCAAGCTTGGACAGGCAAACAGCCACTACACACTAGGTCGGTATATTGAATTACTAACTAGGTCAGTGCTGCTCCACATATCTTTTCTGGCCTGACAAGCCAACAATGACGCATAAACGAAATGCGGGTGGCAACAATGCCTTGATATGTCAGAACCAGCAGTCTGCAAGTAGATCTCTGCTTGTGCATGAAAAAAGTTTATGCAACATTTCTTAAAAGGTATCAAGACTGAAGAACCACATAGCAGCAGCTCAACAAAATATTTCAACATCAAGTGACCAAAACATGACAAGCACAAGATGTGAGAACAGCACTGCAGATGGTTGAGACGTCAATTGGGCATAAAGAACCCACAGAAAACTTTGCCTCAGTTTCTCTTCTCACAGTATAAACAACCAGAACTTCCGTAATAAACCAATCAGCTTATGCTAATTTACTTTCACTCTTTAGTGTCCCTTTAATCACAAGTCACAGATTCACTTAACAACTAGACTCAAAATATTGACTTTATCTAATGTCCTCGTGCCTAGTGCAGTTGGCGCTGCACTGTCTGCAAAGCACACATTTAATCCACACTTTACTCATAACAAATGACACCCAAGTAGTTTCCCTCCATGTGTTATGTTATAGCTGCCATATGATGACTATGGGTTGTGTATTCTGGAACAGACACTTTTGCTGGAGGCAATTCCACATGATGCACATTCTGTCACGATGAACCAACTTCCATAAAGGACACCTGCAGACAGAAGGTTTTCTATAGCCTAGTTTGAGCTACCCGAGAGTTATTTGCGCAAGTGTGCTGCCTATAGTCAGCGACAACTTCTCTTGGAAGCTCTGGGGAAGCTACAAAACCAAAACGCTGGCCTGCACGCACACACCAATTTTTTCAAAAGGATAGAAAGGTGGTCAAGTTGGTAGTTCATATCTGTTCAATGATCTAGGGGCGCCACAACACACAAAGGAAAAACCACACTGCACGAGCGCTGTTCCTCCATCTGTTGCGTGTTGCCACGCTCCCAGTTTGCTCAACAAACAGTACCCATTTTTATTTTCTATATGTCCAGTCACATAGCTCAAATGAATAAAGTTTTCTTCATTGTAAAAAAACAAACAAGTATGGGAAGCTGTTGTGGAAAAAAATTACTGCACACGAACTTTTTTTTTTCTCTCGGATAGCCCCACTTTTTCTGCACACCTGATCTCGCAGTGAACATAATGTCCCCAAATCCAGCTAAGCCATGTGTGGTTTTCATTCTCCAAGTAAGATATAGCCGAAATGAGATGGAAAGTGGCTGTCTAAACAGACCAAGCAAGTTATCTGCAACGTCTATGCTGGGTGAGAAGTCGTCAACCAGAATTGTGGACGAGTGCTGTGAGCAAGCAAAACCAAAACTGCAACTGAAATCACTGCTGTGGATTCCATTTCCAGTTTCACTGGCGGACTACTTGCTCAGTAACACCAATGTGCAGATGCCCTGTTTTCATAGCCTTTACGCCACTGCCAAGATAAGTTGTAATCAAGTAGAGTGTACGACACTGCCAAGATAAGTTGTAACCAAGTAGAGTGGATCATACTTGCGATAATATATGCAAATGCTAAAGGGGTCATGAACCGCCCATAAGGCTTGGTGGGACACCACATCCTGCGGAACGCAGACACTACTACGAGAAGCTCAAACAAATCTTGGAAAACTTAAAGGAGAACTGAAAAGCAGAGTGAAAGTTACCATTTTTTCAAGTGAGCCATCTTCACACACAGGCCGGTCCTCACTCTTTGGTGGGAAGAGCTACTGTTTTGACGTCTAACAGCTGACAGCATGCTATTAACGAACAGTGGGCACGAATAAAGAGCTGCGTTTAGATCAGATGCGCTTTTAGCCCTGTGCTGCCACCATATGCCAGCACCAAGGTCAATACAGTGAGCTACTAGTCACACCCAGGCACACACCGCAGCGGAAGGGAGCGATTGGGTGTCGTCGTGCGTGCTTACGATGCACGCTGATCTAACTTCTTCCCCCTTGCCATCCCTACCTGCGTAGCGGCCAGCGTGCTTGTCGGGAACAGAAAAAGCACTTGAAGCGTGCGACAAACAATTGTGACTTCGCTAGTCGCCGACAGATTCGAGAAATTCCTGCGGCAGCGTTTCGTGAGGCAATGAACTCCGACACTGAGGTCATTCGATGATTACTTGGAAAAGTGATATGAAGGCTTTGACGGACACCCGTCTGGTTGGGAAGTGTTGTTGAATAAAAGACGACACCGACCCTAAGAGAGAAAAACAATGTACTGACATTATGGCATTCCGAAATGAGAGCCTTGTTCACAAATTTAGTTAGAAACATCAGTACGTTGTTTTTTTTCTCCTTTTTTTGCTCGGGCATCTGTGTCTTTTATTCACTTGTGAAAAGTGGTTCAGGACCCCTTAACAGTGCACCTTATCTTTATTGATCATTGCGTGCTGCATTATCTCACTCGGTAAAGCAGAGCTAAGTACGGTGGCACAATTCGTGTGGGTGTTAATAGTTAAGTTTGCATCAGGCATGGTGAAATTTCGTCCAGATGCTCGGGCAGAATCTAAGCATCTTTTAGGTCAAAAATCTAAGATAAGTGATTGTTCCAGAAAGCACCACCACTTTATAGCCACACAAAAGACACTGAAAGAACACTGTGAGGAACACTGTCATTTAACAATAGCGATGCGGTGCAAAAAATTAAATAGATTGGAACTCCAGTCAGAACATGACCACAGCCCCTCTGCTGACCCTGTAATACTAATATTTACCAGGAACTTGGTAAGTAATATAGTTTAGTAGGTCACAGTAATACAATTGTATGGGTGTACCAGTCAGGCAAATGTCACCCCACAGTCACAAGGAAAATAACTTCACCCAAACAATGTTGCATGTTTAGAAAAGTGGCCCATCCCCATCGCACAGAAATTTCTATTTCATTAAAGAGGGCCTTCTATGATTGAAATCTACGTAGAACAGTGCAACTCACTTGAGGTGTCTGAAAGGTACGACCAATGTCAACTTACAATAAACGGTCTACACAACAAAGAAATAGAGAGAAAGTACTTTCATCAATGTCCACATACAACCAGGCATTCTTAAACACCAGCGTGGTTGTATGAAAAGTACTTTTCTGTATTGCTGCCCTCTTACAAGAGTGCTAGAGTGAAAGGCAATGGAAGAGTTGGTCCCTTCACGGTAGTTCACGGGTCCCCATTTCAGCTGCTGCCGAAGTAAGTTTCGGTTTTGTTCATAACTTCTGAAAATGCTGCCACATCAGCCAATGCCAACTTTGTCCAGAGAGAAAGGTGAGGCTAAGACTAGAGTGCAACTTCGCAACATTGGTTTACCCCAACAGGTTAGTGGACGTGAAATCCAGAATTATTCAGTGTTTTGGGAAATGCAGCTGCAGCACTCCAATGATGAGCGTCTGGTATGTAATGGTGATGCTTTTGCTTTTTGAAACAGGGGCTGAAAGCTTGTTAACCACAAGAAACAAAAATACGAGATTTACATATGCCTGCACAAGCGGATTCACATCAATGCTGCAACGCTGCCTAGAATGCGCATCTGCAGGAAAAATTTGTGTGTAAATATGGTGTGTAACGGCAAAGCCACACTGCAGTTTCAATAAAGGACTGCAGTGGCAGGCTATTGTGCTGGCAGAACGGTCTTTACTTGCTTTTAAATTTAAAGACCTTAACAGCCATGATAAGCTATGCAGTTTATACATGAGGCAGGTTATATGTGTGAACATAAAATATGTAAGACACACTGTGTTACCGTCTTTCCTTTATCAGAGGCATTATTAACCACTCTTCAGGCTATTAGCCTAGTGATACACTATGCATGTTCCTAGAAACTCTCCAAGGACTAAAGCTCACGTCAAGTTGTAGTCGAGGTAAATATTAAATGGAGACACATATACAGCTTGTTATCCATGCCTACATGGGAACTTCAGCCAAAATATATGATACGGTTTGTACGATTTTATTATGACTAGACTTTTAAGCTGCTGGATTGTTGTAAAGGGCACCTGCCTGGCAAAGTCTGTGCCTCGATTATGGTCTTCTACTGACTACAATAAATGGCAACAAGTGATATATTTAAAATATTTTGCACCTGTCACTCGCAAAAGTACACAAGTGATACTATAGTCTTGAATTCACTGTAATGGGCAGTGAATTCACAGATATTAAGCTAAGCTATTGTTCTGTAGAAGTTCTAAAAACCAGACATGATTCAAAGCAGCCTCCTGGGAGTGCGTTACTGGGCTTTTTCTAGCGAAAAACACTTCTTATTGTTTGGTCAAATGCTACAGCTATAAGCACTTCTCAGCCGCAACACAAAGTCTTACTGTAAAACTATCAGCTCTGCTTCATGTGCTACCGTTTTGACCAAGTGCCAGCTTTACGTGCTGGCTAAGTCGCAGTGAACAGATTGGACTTGATGGCACAACTCTGAATGCACAACAGAGCTAAGGCCACATTGCATGCACACCTGGTACAGCTAATCTAGAATGCGCAAGGGTGGAAAGTGCCTAAAGCAGAAGGTAGTGCAGTAAAGGTATGTGAACACCTTCGAAGTTTCTTCCACAAAAGTTTCTCACTTTCTCCCACTAAATCTCACTACAAAGAATTATGCTGCTGCATTACTATTCTCTCTCCATCTATAATACGCCTGCTACAGCTAAACAAAAGATTTGTGGTGTGAACTGAAAATTAAAGAAAAAGAACTAAAGAAGAAATCCTATATGGTCTTTTTCTGTTTGTAAGTCCTCTGTTTGCACCACAAATTTCTTGTTAAGCTACGCACTGACCTTCACAACCTAGTACTATGCTAGCTGCAGTGCCACGTGACCACAAATCCTCAGCTATTGTCAATGCTTTTCCCTCGCTAAAAAAAATTCCTGCATGCTTCCACCAATCGTGTACAACTAGGAAATAACCGGAACTACATTCTTTGCAGGCCATCTGTGTGCACCACTTTGCACCAGGTGGATATAGGTGTGACCAAGGAAACCTTATACCTTGAAGCTGCATTTTTCTCGCATTGGAAAATTCCCAAACGTGTCGATTGGATGCCCAGCGCTACAGTGCAACATCACAATGCATGGTGAACTGCATTTAAAAAAAACAGCTCCCAAAGAGACTGACCGAGGCTAGCCACGGCATTAAGTTTTGAATAGAGAGGCATTTTTCTGGTGAAACCCAATGTGCAACCCTTACACCGAGGTATCCCCTTTCATGTAATTCAACATGCTGTGAGAAGTCTCGAATCGCCTTAGGCAACCCTGTCATATTGCGCTTCTTTTTCTTCTCTCTTCTTTTGTTTAGAGAAAGCAGGACGATATTTCACCAAGAAAGCCTAGCTCTCTCTTAGACAGAGTGGCTATTGGCCTCTGGGTACCAACAGGTAGCTGCAGCACCAATGACTCTCTTACAAGTTCCTACGCTAGGTTTTCACTTTGGAGAGCTGCGCAAGCCGCCTCTTGGCAATCTGTCGCTGGTGCTCCTTCATCATGTCGTGGCTGGTGACGTCCAGCTGAACAAGCTAGAATCCAAGAAAGACAGCGAACGCAGCTGAGAGAATGCACGTTGTGTGCAAATGCATAGAAAAAAAAGAACTAAATAAAGTCGAAACAAGAACTCATAACTCATTTGGACTTCTAACTATGTCGTGAAATGTCAGTCCTAGGGGAATGCAATTAAGGGACCTTACGAGTTTCATTATTGTATTTTCGAGTATTTTACCTACATCGTTTCTCCACTATGTATAGATAAGTCCTAAACCTCGAAACTGATATGTTTCCAATCACGTTTTCAACACCTGGTGGAGACAAACCATCAGACCACGCATCGTCAGAACTATTTCTGACTGAAGAAAGTTGTTTTGCCTGCCACAAACCATATTATTATCATTATACACTATGCAAATCACAAGCATGTCACATTAGTGATTCCATGACCTTACCAATTATGTGAACGAGATGCGAGAGTTACGCAAGTCATTTTTTTGCTTCTTGTTCCGTGGCCACACCGACAGAGACATTTTGCTTCGCACGAAAAGGATTGAAACAGCAGAGCATGGAACGCAGCCACGTAAAACAAACCAATGCAGGAAATGAAAGAAATGATATTAAGTGCGGAAACGCGCTACCATGAGACAGCCATTTACTATGCGCATGTGTGTGAATGCATGTTAAGGCAAGCCAGCGAGAGCATACGACGGAGCGGCCGATCGCTGGAAGACGGGGAAGAAGAAAAAGCTCGTTATTCACAGAGACAAAAAAGAATTGCCCCCACCTCCCCGAAGAGAATCGCGAGGAAATGCGAATGCATTTCTTGCGCGGAGAGTACACGGCATAGTAATTTCAATGGCGTAAATTAATGACAAGACGAGGATTTGTACCGTAAGCATACTTACACAATCATCAGCCAGTGAACGGTAGAGAGTGTGGTGTGCGCTTTACTTCATTCATATATACAATATACATACAAGCAAGCAGACAAGAGAGTGGGATGCAGAGAGGAGAGAAAGCGAATGGCGAGAGAGCGAGCGGCAAAGTACAGCACCTACACTCTCTCCACACACACGGGAGCTTTGCCGAGCTCCCTAGATGCAAGCCCCCTCTCACCCCAAAGCGCTCTCCTTCTCTCCACTCACTCTCCGCTACTCCACCTGCACCACCTGCACCACCTGCTGCAGTTGCTAGGGGCGAGGACAAGCGCGCAGTGCCCGCAGCTGTTGCTATGGAAGAGGGAGTGAGAGCGGAGAGATAACACCTGCTGGTGTGCGGACACTGACAGACGCCTGACATGTCCCGACTAACAAATGCATTCGCATTTAAATGTATCAAGAGAAGGGACCAGTCATTATACCTGTGTGACGAGATAGTCTTCTTGAACAAGTGGCTCGGGCAAAGACCGCAAGGGCTTCCAAGGTCTCGAACATGGCTGGGTAGCGCTTGCCGAGGTCTCCACCACCAAGCACACCTCGCAGTAGCACCAGAGCAACTTTAAAAAGCACTTTCACGCCTAGAAAAAAGTGAGATAACAGCCAGTATGTATAAAACTGCTCATGTCTAAAGTTTCTTATTGCATCTTATCGTCATGTAAAAAGTACGTTCCTCTAAAATTTAAATTTGCTGTAAAAAAATGTAAACCAGGGAACACCCACTTCAATAAAGTAATAAATAACAAAACAACCATCAGACGTCTAAAGTGAGAAGCAATTATGCTTTTGTAGTTAAAATGCTCAGTGAAGCTGTTTACACAACATTTTTAGTTGCTTTTTCTTTCTAAACTCTGAAGAAAGCTTGCTAAGTATAAAAAGAAAATGTGTGCAGTTTGTACTAATGGTGTAAGGGTGGAGCCAGTAGCGAGGCCGGTGTTAAACCTTACTTATTCTAAAGTTTTGCTAATAATGCCAAGCTATTGCTAGAGATGCAAAGTTTTTGCGAGTAATAGTAGGAGTGGCAAGGCTCGGTTATTCTACTCTGGTTTCAGTCGGTTGGCCACATTACACAGGTGTTTGTGTTTTTGGCGAGAACAGGTCACAAGGACTAGCTGCTACGTGATGTGATTTTAATCGCATGAAATGCTGTTACGTGGTTTTTGACAAGACCATGTCACAAGAATAGTTTTTATGTGAATAGTTTTATGTGAATGGAATAGTTTTTTTATGTGGTTTTACTTGAGTGACTAATTGTGTAAGGTCTCGAAATGAGGCATGCCGCTCTCGGAACACGGAGGCACACAACAGACGCGGTCGGACCGAACCGGACAAGATATTATTACTTAACTACGTTTACAGCGACGATATCGTCAGCTGCATCAAAATACTGTCAGTTGTGATCAACAGGCTAAAACAATGTTACACAATAGTCCACAACACTCAACAACATAACAGACACAAGGCGTCGTCGTCAATGCTTGACCCGCCTTGAGGGCCCACGGCAGACGTCCCGCGGTGCCGCCCACTGCAGACCCGCCGTAATTTAAAGCATGCTACCCATTAAACAGAATGCAGCTATGTGCTAAAGCTCTCTGACAGAAGACATTTTCAACTTTATTCATTACATTTTAGTACTCCTACAATTTAACACCATACAATAAAAAGTATGCCCTAAGTAGTTGAACTACACACTAGAGTAAAGATGTCGTATCGTGGTCAACTCTTAAAGGCGGTGTTTAAGCGTCCCTCAATTTTTTAGTCCTGTGACTACTTGTTACGTGATGTTCATGGTCAGGCAGGGGTGGATCTAGTACCTCCTCATTTGGGGGGGGGGGGGGGGGTGCTTGAGGTAACACTGGAGAGGAGGCAGGGTCATGACATATTTATTTGTCTTTACTAGTACAAAAAGCCACCATTGTATACTAAATACTGTTAATGTGTTCTCACAGTGGCCCCACTCATTTGTCCTAATCGGTGATTGGAGGTGGACGACAAGCACTGCAGAGAGGAGGTTGCTGGCAGAAGCTTTGAGGGGTAGAAGGAAAAATCACCCTGCCCCCCCCCCCCCCTAACCCCTCTGGATCTTCCACTGTGTTCAGGCTTCCTGACGTTTGCTCCCTCATACATTTCAAGCAATAAATGAAATGAAACATATGAGAAAAGTCGTGACTGCGATTACTCACCTTCACAGAGAAAGACGTCCCACACACGCAGCACAGTAGCCCAGGGCAAAGTGCGGCTGTAGGCACACATGAACCATTCAGTCATGTACATGATGGGATCCACACGCTGCTTTTTCTGCACAAAAGGAAAAAAAAGGCGCATTTTATCATTACGCAGCAAAGACGGCTGAAGGAAAGTCTCGATGCAAGATTAGAATCCACTAAAGCCTGCACCCACAGATGGCAACTTGATACTCACTAAATGACGATGTGCAGATGGTGAAACTCTTTTGAGTAGCGCAAAAAGTATTTCACCGTCCAGCTGGACAGCATCCTGCAATGACAAAAGAAGCATCAAACGGAAGCTTTGCAATTCCAGCTACACAACATTAGTAGCAGCACATTGCTCGACATCATTACCAATAATCCACACAAGAGCATATGAAATTTCACATTTAATTGACACAGCAATGATGCATCCTTAAGTAGCACACAATAATATCTACTGGACATAATTAAGGAAACTGCATCACGAAAATTCCGGTGTCAGTGTTGGCAGCATTGGTTGTGGGTGAAAAGTAAGCATTGTCCAAGAGCGAAAAATTGCAATGAATACAAAAAATAAAAATCGGAGAAGGGGCCGTAATCAAACAAGTTGGTGACCCCAACTCATCTCTAGGCAAGCAAAGCAGAATCTGTGACCTGGAAGATGTAAGCTTATTGTTTACTTACCTATTTTTCGATGACATCAGTTTGTGGGGGTGCTGACACCCCCTGTAAAGTTGTTTGCGCCGCGTGGCGCATTTGTCTCGCACAGAAGTCATATTTCGGTGGTGACAACTATTGAGTGATAGGCGATGTTGTGTATGCGAACGGTGATCACCACTATCATCATCATGGTTGATAGAGCAGTAGCGCCGGCAGTGAGCCCTGACGGAAGGCAAGCCTCGATGGTGGGTGAGAGAGTTGAGTGAGTCTCTTTTCTTTATGCGCGTGGCGTTTGGCGCGAACGATTGCCTCTCACGGTGTGTGCCCGGTGCACGGCGCCGTGGGCCATCTGCCGGGGGACCCATGTGGTGAGTCAAGCAGTTGGCGACAGCGCTTTTTGTGTGCTCTGGTGTTTGTTATGTTGTTACCTGCTGAAGTAATATTGTGTAAGGATGTCTTAGGGGGTTGATCACTATTGATGTTATAATTCGGCTGACGATATCGTCGATCAAAAAGTAGTAAAATAAATGTGCATTATTTGGTTTGTTCCGACCTGCGTCTGCGGTGTCCGTTCACTCCAAGAGCGTGGTGGTGGCGCGCGCCCAATTCGAGACCCCACACTGGCTGCCCAACATGGAGTTCTTGGAGCATCGGACGACAGTTTTCGTGGTTCGGTACAAGCTTTTCTAAGAGCCGGGGTAGAGTAGGCCTAGGGGGACTTCTCATTGCTAGCGTCGGCGGTGTGCTTTGTTGAGAGTGAGGATATCGGCTTTGGTAACATGTTTGAACTTGTGAGCTGTCGAGTTTTGTATTTTTTTTTCTGCTTGCAAGTGCTTTTGCTGTTGCTGTGGCTGGTCTTTAAGAATGTTGTTCAGTTGAGTATGAGAGCCATGTGGTGTGCATCCTGGTGTGAGCAAGGCTAAGAGCAGGTGGATTGTAGGCCAAGCCCGAAGCGAGTGAGTACGAAAGCCTCGTGGGTGGTCCTATTTTCAGTGAATAGCTTCTTTTATCTCTTTGGACTCAGGGAGTCGGGCATCGTTGCTGTCTAGTACTGCAGTTCGACGCCGGGGCATCATGACATTGTCCGGAACAGTAGAGGCCGAAGGCCGATTGCTCGGTAAGCTGCAGTGTGCGGCGAGTGATAGGGCCACATTAGGAGTGGATGTCTCCTTGCGGCTGCTTCTTCTGCGCCTAGGCTGGGTGCTGGGTGGATGCCGGTTGTTGTCAAACGACTCATTAGGCCCAAGGCTCTGCGCAGCCGCCAGTCACACAACTAGGTGGATCGTGGCGTGGAGGTGTTGCACTTTGCTTCCCTCACTTTTTTTTTTTCTCATCTCGTGATGCACGAGTGAAGAAAAAGTGATTTTTGTTTATTTGATAGGCATCTCCGCCGTCGCCGATGTATTAGCCATCGTACCATGCAGGCGAGGAGCCCGAAGCTCCCTTCCTCTTTGGCCTACTGCATTGTTCTTTCGAGTGTTTTGGAATGTTCGCAGCGGGAGTGATGTAACCTGCAGCTATTGTCAAGCTGTCTTCTGCACATCGTCAGCGCCACTGGCCAGGAATTGCGGTCGTGTGGTTGGGCGATGGACATGCCTGGGACCTGCGCAACTGCCTAGCAGTCCGGAGGCCTCGTGAGTGCTCGTCACATCCAGAAGACGTGTCAGCGCGAGTGACGGTTCGTCGCGCCGACGGCAATGTTGCTGTTGCGGAACCGGTATTGATGTGAAGTCGTCGAGCCAGACAGTGCAGCAGTGTCGACAGGAGGCTGGTGTCATGCACGGACACTATGTAAGGACATTGGTTGTCATGTTTTGTTAGAGCTTGTGTGGCAAATTTCTTCTCTTTTTGGAATATGGTTTGAATCAAGTTTGAGAGAATGTGGGGGTGCTGACACTCCTGTAAAGTTGTTTGCGCCGCGTGGCGCACGTGTCTCGCACAGAAGCCGTATTCCGGGGGTGACAACTATTGAGCCATAGGTGGTAGTTGTAGTTCGCGAGCTGTGATCACCACTATCATCATCATGGTTGGTAGAGCGGTAGCGCCGGCGGTGACCACTGGCTGAAGGCATGCCTTAGTGGCAGGCAAGAGAGTTGAGAGAGTCTCATTTGGCGTCGGGCGGTGGCGCAGACGGTTTCCTTCCAGCGGTGGGTCTGCTGTGGACAGCACCGCGGGCTGTCTGGGGTGGGCCCACGTGGTGAGCAAGGCGTTAGCGACACCACCTTGTCTGTCATGTTGTTGAGTGTTGTTTACTATTGTGTAATGATGTTCTACCGTGTTGATCACGGTTGATGTCATAATAATTCGACTGACGATATCGTTGCTCAAAAAGTTAAATAAATGTGTATCGTTTGGTTTGGACTGATCGTGCCTGCTGTGTTCGTTCACTCCTAGAGCGTCTCTCTCGCCAATTCGAGACCCCAAAAGTTTAAATAGGCATTGCAACACTTTTGAAAGTAATCACATGATGACATCACTATTGAATAAGGCATGTTGCCGAGCTAGTTGGTTGAGAATCGTAATTTTAAAGGGGCCCCGGAACACTTTTCGAGCGTGGTCATGAAAACAACGCCGATCGGTAGTAGAGGCTCCCAACAACACGCGAGCCAAACATTATAGCGTAGCACGCAGCCTGGAATTCATAATAAATTCTCAAAGTCAGCTAAAAATTGCTTTCTATTCTCTCGACAAATTGATGCTACATGCTCAGAAATCACTCGTCACAGCCACTGTACCAGCCAGTCGGCTGATTTGAGCATGGCGCGCTCGGTCGTTAGTGGGGCCGCCACAGAAGGCCGTGACTTGTCCGAGCGTGCGCATGTCATCACACTGAAAAGCCACGTATTTGTAGAAAAAAAAGAGAGAGAGAAAAAGTGCTCAAGGTCATGAGGCGTGCATGACATATTTTTTCCCCCCAGTGCCATCCCTCTCTACTAAGCTTCCAGCACTTTCATTGAGACAACAGAATGCAATTGCTGCGTGGGACAAATTTTTGCAATTTCTCTCGAATTTAACAGATTCTGAAACTTTCCCAGCAGCAAATTCATGAGGCAATAACCTCCTTTAGTGAATCCATTCCATGGCTACTTGAAAAAGTGTTGCAGTGCCTCAGTGCCTCTTTAAATAGTGTCCCACCGTGGTGGTCTAGCGGTTAAGATACTCTGTTGCTGACGCACAGGTCACGGGATCAAATCCCAGCAGTGGTGGCTGCATTTTAAATGGAGGCGACAATGCTGTAGGCTCATGTGCTCAGATTTGGATGCACGTTAAAGAACCCCAGGTGGTCTAAATTTCCAGAGACCTCCCCTACAAAGTTTCTCATAAGCATAGGGGGGTTTTGGGATGGTAAACCCCACATATCAATCAATCATCTCTTTAAATTGCATAGCACGTCACCACAAGGACAGAAAATGACACACACAAAGACCACTCGCTTGCAACTAAAAGGTTTAAAATCACTAGGCTGCAGTTCGAAGTGCAATTCGAAGCAAAGAGTGATTTTGGTAGAATAATTGCGAATTGAAGTCAAATAGTACATGTCACATGTTATAAAAAAAAAAAAATGGGCATATTTGTCATGACCCAATTAAACTGCACAATATTTTTTTCCAAGTTAAAACAAGACCTGTGCAAATTCCACTCTTTTTGGTTCAAAGGAAGTGGAAACAACCTTGAATAGTAGCAGGATTTTACTTTCACTAGAATGCAAGTAATAACCTGTAAAATATGTCGTTTTAATATTTAGTACTACACTTTGAGCATTTAAGCCGGTATAACAAGCTTTCAAACTCAAAAAATGATGGATCGTTGAGAGGGTAATATGTTCATTTAACCTTGAAAAGAAACTTCGCGGCAACCAGATTTTTTTTTTTTTTTTTGGCAACACGAACTTTTTTTTTTTTTTGTATTGATGTTTTCACAGCTTAGCACTCCTCCACTGCCATGAAACCACCTTCACAATGGGTTGCATGCGGACTAATACACCCCTATTTGTTCATTTCGATTCGAAATTTTCAGCATTTAAATTCAAATCGAAGAATTCAAATATTTGCACACGCCTAAAAATCACTATTGGATTTTATTGCCTGATGAATAAATTGTTAAATTTTGGAATCTATCCATTACGGGTAGAGTTACAGGTATTAGTTGCATGCTTCAAGCGCTTTCTGTAATCTTTTGTCCCAAACAAGCATGGTGAAAGCATGGCAGTGTACGCTGTGACTTTGACCACTTTCTTTTCTTCTTCCCCCCTCCTTTTAAATGTGTCAGCTCCCTTTCAGTGTGATCGCGAGCACGCTTGTGTCTAGTATCATTCTACACCATGTAGTTCTAGCGTCGCCAACCGTGGCGTGCATACGTGGTGACATCCCACATCAGACACAATAAACATGCTCCGCACGAATGCAGAAATCAGCCAATGGCTGTGTCATAGCAGGTCGTAGCCTGGACAGTCCACTGGCGATATTTGCCGAGAAACGAGCGCGCAAATTCTAGCAGACTTTAAAGTTTAATTGCGAATTCCCGGCCACTTGCTGCGCTATCATGTTTAGCGCACATGTTACACAAGCTTCAACTACCAACCAGGAGCATTTTCTGATTACATAAAAAACTGTTCCAGAGAGGAGGAGCACCGCTGAAGCCGGACAGTCAAGTTCACATAATTGAATTAATCGCACTGAAACCACTTACAAAGGCCTCCATTTAAAAGTAATTATGACAGCCACAATGTAGAAACCTGACCAAGTGCACCAAGACAGTTCAAAACATACAGTGCCAACTGGGTGACCATGTTGGTGCCATAATGCACAGCACTCACCAGTCCAGGACTGTAGTACCCTCGCAGGTATTTATCGCAGACAGCCACGAGACACCAAAAGGCATGCTCAGCTGGCATGTGCATGAGCAGAACGGCTGCAATGGGCGCTTGGCCCTGGCAGTAGCCCACTGCAGGGTTCAGCACCGAGTAAGCCTTCAGTATTCGGAAGAGGTCTTCCTGCCTACAAACGAAAGTGCCATACAAAGATGGAATCAAACACTGAGCGTCCGAGAAGGCACTAGAATGTTTCAGAGCAGTAGACCCCAAAGCGTACACACACCATTGCGTTCCTTTGTTCTTCCAGCTAAGCATAAGGAGAATACAAGAGAACTCTCCTAACTTATCACTGGGCAAAGACACTGCTTTGAGTTACCTACCCATGGCCGTGGTCCTTCACAAACATTTCGTGCTGCGGAAATTGTCGATGCAGGTCTTTCCTGATGTCGTCGACCCACCGTGGATCACCTGGATGTTTGTCAAGCTCCTGCAGGGAGAGACATTAAATCCAATTTGCTGCCAACACAGCCAATAATCATGCCGACAATGTATTAAACTGTATAAAATACTGCTGCAATAGACCGATTCGGTACCCAAATTAGAATGTGGTAAGGATGGGCGAATATTTGAGTGCTTCAAGTATTAGAAGGAATACTGCAGTATTTGAAATAAACAAAATATGCAAATTTGACCAGATGTGACTCCCTGAAAAGGTGATTTCACAGCACTGTGGGGCTTCTAAAACTGTGAAACCATCTTTCCAGGAAAAAAAACCCACACTGCCACAAATCCACACTTCAAGGTTAATAGTATGTACCTATCTGCCACATCGATCAACTTTTTTCAAGTTCAAAAGCATGCTAGGATGCCTTATATGCACGAAGTATAGCAAATTTTAGAATACAACTTATTGTATCGCTTATCACTTGGGGGCTATAACTATTTAAATCATGCCATTATTTAATTTTGCTCCCACTTAAATACAGATAAGTGACACATTCACACATTCGGACCCCTAGCTCCAATTCTTAAAAATATTGTCGAAGTTAGTTGAGTCACGACAAAAAAAAAAGGTCTTTTTTTTACAATACGTGATATATACTATTTGATTCGAAATTATTCAACGTAATCCCTATTCCCTTCAAATTCACTTCGAACTACAAGTCTACTGTTCGCCATCGCTAGAATACGTTGTGTATGTGAAACATAATGCGCAAAGTGATACTCTGTAAGGACGTCTGAAATTCTGACCATTCTACAGTCAGTACACGAGGAGGTTGTCGTGGCGTGAAGCTGTCCATGTATACCACAGCTTAGCACTTCAAAGACAGTAACAGCCAGTGACCAGTTTTGCAACAGAGTTCACTGCTACTCTGCTGACAGAGCCAATAGGGGAAGCATGTGGAAATGGAATCTTCTTGCAACCACAGGCACATAACAAGAGAATACTGAACTTTTCGGCAATGAGTAGCTTCGAGCCCACTTACAGCAAACTTCCCCGGATAGCTCTCCATCAAAAACCGGCCCCCACACAGGTTCATCCAGGCAACGGAGCGCATTGATGAGGGTATGCCTTTGCGACATCTGTCTCGAACCTGAAATCCATACCCCCAGAATCATAAATACGCTAGCATGCAGGCAAGCCATATCGTTCACGGACTTAGTATATACTGTGAACAAAAACAAGCAGCTTGTGCAGCAAACAATGCAATGAAATAAACTATGTACAAGAATGGAAATCTCTGAAAGCTTCTGTACGTTAACACAATATTCTCTTTTTTTGGTCCCGTATTTGTGAACTGATAACGCAGTGCTTATTTCAAATATTCTACGTAAACAGTGCCTGTCAGAATGATTGAGCATAGCTTGAATGCCCGCTAAGCATTACTATACTGCTGCCTTCGTCCGTCTTTGTTTTGCGATGTCGTGGGGCTTGAGAGACAGCTTAAATGCAGGTTTTATCTCATCAACCTTTGCCACATATGCACATTAGTGCATGTACCAATGTGGTACAAGTGCAATAAACTAAAGAGAGTACTCAATAAAGATTTTAAAAAATTTAAAAATAGACCATTTAAATGCAGCATTATTGTTCCACAAATAAATGGCCCAATGCCACCTCAACTCCAAAAGCTCGACTCACCACTGCCAACTAGCAGCTCAGTGACCTTTAAAACAAGCAAGGTGTCCTGATTCGGGCTAGCCTATATTCTGTAGCTACGTAAGCAGTGCGGAAGGGGCACGTAGGTATGGCGCTGTCACTTCAGCAGCTGTTTTCATCGGTCCCCCGTCTGTCTGTTTCTTCTAAGCTGTTTTTGTTGCATGAAAGGAACCGACAACTAATTTTCATGGTGTCAGCTTTTTTAGCACAACAGAAAGCTTACCGGAATGGTAAGGTGGAAAACGCAGTGAAGTATTTGTAAACAGCATATTTCTATCTGTGGCGAATATGAAGTCGTATACACAGCATGCTGCAAACAGTGGCCGTGCGGGCAGTTTTTTCGAGCGCAATGGCTTACTATACATGCATGCACTCTGCAGGCATGCGCTATAGCTTGACTTGGTGCCCGATGGTCGCGAAGGCAACGCCGTGCTTCTACATCGTGCAACTCCTTTCAGCATCATAAGCAGCACAAATGAGCGAGGCTGAACAACAACATACATACTCTAATTTTGAGGGCTGGCTCGCATGACCAGTGATGAAAGCGACATTTTGCTTTTTGGAGCAGCTTTCGGAGCAGAAAAATTGGTGTTTCGGAGCAGCAGCTTCAAGTGTCTTCGGAACAGAAAAAAATGCTATAGCTTATGGTTGCTATTGGTGCTTTCGAAGCAGATGCATGTTCCTAACGACTCCTGAAGTATAAAACATCTCTTAAGCATGTAATAAATATTTATAGTTATTATTAAACATGCGTACGCTAGTATGCAGCTAATATACAAGCAGTATAGTTGGCGTAAATCATGAATGGGGGGAGGGGGGTCAAGAGAGTGTATGTTGAGGCTAGGGAGGGCACCCCTTGCAAGTGTCCCACTGCAGATTTAACTTTAGCATGTGATATAATCAAGTTAACAGTTAAGTATAGCATAATCAGCTTTTTTAAAGGCTTTTTACCTTCATGCATACTTGTGTTAAATGCCCCTCAGCTGTGTGAACTATGGAAATAGAAAAAAGGTGAAAAAAAGAGACTGAATAGAACTATGCAATTGCTCGAGCTCAGACCCCATGCTCGGTTTTTTTTTTTAATTTTATTTTTGAGAGCATGACTTAATTCCTATATAAATAAATGTAAAACCTATATTAAGATAATGACACCAAGGATGGACACCAATTGGACCAATTATGACACCAGGACACTTCTTGAAATTTTTCAGGATTTACGCCACTGAGTAGCATACTGGACGATAGTGTATACAGCTTGCTTTTGGTTTCGCTTATGCTCACAGGATGGTCTTATGGTTCAACTTCATTTTCCTTTAGTTTGCCAACATCTTTTCGGAGCAGGTTTGGAGCAGTTACTAGCAAATATTGCACTTTGGAGCAGCACGGAGCAGCATTTCTCTTTTGGAGCAGTTTGCAGAAATTGGAGCAGCACTTCCATCACTGGATGACAGCACTAGACTACGCGACTGCATACAGCAAAGCGATAGACTCCATATTCCATAATGAAGCTTCAAGGTCCTTCCACTAGGCTGTGTGACTTAATGCTTTACTTTTTTACTTCTAAGCACAACTAACAACATAAATCCTAGTCACAACATAATAATTGCCAAAGCCTGCACAGTCACAGTAAAAGCTGGAAGAGCTGCCTTTCAGAGCCTTTTCAGAACACTTTTAGGGTAACTGCTACAAGAACACTATCTGGGTACCCACTACACCATAAGTAATCAATTTTTGCGTAGTAGGCCGGCATTCACTATGCTATCTTTCCCCATTTCTCAAAGAGGCCCATTATCCTTCACCCACTTGCTAGGAATTTTGGGCAATTTTTTTATCCAGTGGCTGGCGATGATGAAGAATGATGCCTGAAGTGGCCATGTGCCACAGTTAATAGGTAATCAAGCACAATCTTTTGTAATGGGTTGGAGAATTGGATGACCCACTCATTACGCAATTCGCATTGTGTGTTGCCTGGTTGTTCCTTTGCTGCTCTAAAACACTATATTACTCATATTACAGGATTCCTTTCCCAACATCAAGCCTGCCTAAGGCCAGTTTGGAAACGAGTTCCAAGCACTGACGAGGCTCAGTGGTGGAATACTAGGCTAGCACGCAGCAGACCCGGATTCGAATCTGATTGTGTCCTTGGAGTGTTTTTATTGACAGTTTTTTTTTTTTTCTTATTTCTTGTGATACTTGTTATGGACACCGGCGACAGTGGCAGACAAATACAGCACCACACATGACCCGTGTTCTGATCTCATAACAGCTTTCACTGTAAAAGAACGCTGGAATATGTCCCTATATTTCACAGTCTTTTCATTCCTAGCAGGAACTAGTATAATCACAAATTCTGGCCAGTTCACAGTCCCTTGAAAATGAGTAATTTTCGTGCCCACCAGTTGAACAACCAACCAGTGTCACCACAGTAGGTGACATGTACCTGAATGTGACAATTGACTCACCTTCTTGAAGTGCTTGGTCATGTAGCGCTCCCAATTCTCCAGCATGTCCCTCCACTTAAGCTCTCGCTTCCACTGAACTTGAAGGGGTACACGACGTGACCTGTGCACATCACATCAGGGGCATGGAATTCACTCCACGTAAGTTACCCTAACCCTCCACACAGAAAACTTGGCCTCACCAAATTGTCTAGTAGAAATATCGATGTACACACTGGACTTGGAATAGTAAATTTCCTTTCATTTTCCCGCCCATTATTATGGCATTGTGCATGAGAAAAACAAACAAGCAAAAAAAAAACACACAGCCACCTCGGTACCATTTGCACATCCTTAAGCTGTGCTCAAAATGAACAACAAATGTTCATTTAAGTTCAAATAGGTGAAAATCCCCTCAATACTAACATTACTTTTCTATATTTGGTCCTCAGACAGTAGTTGATAAGAGCCAATCCTTGTTGCCACTACAGCAGAAGTTTCCAAATTACCGCAGATCTCTTCAGTAGGTACCTAGCGGAAATGGGGGACCCTTAATCCTAGTCTTTAAGAGTTGAATGCAATAGCGATGTCCTGTCATCAGTGCGTACTTCAACCACTAGAAAGTGGCTTGTGCCAGTGAAGCTTTCGCAAATGGCTGCATTCTGTGTAATGAGTAACATGCTTTAAACCAGGGGCAATTATGTGCATGAAATCTTTCCGAACTAGCTATGCACCTGCTACATGGCCTTAAAAAAATAGGCGCAGTAACATGTGTGCCTTTTGTAGTGTGTGACCGGATTTAAACCAGGAAGTCATTGAGATAATCACATGTTCCATCGCCAGATGGCAAGGTACGCTTGTACTACGCATTATTACTGTGATATTACACGTTATATTGTGAAGCGTGTATAAAGAACGCGTGTGTTTAGCATGAAAGTTACTGCAGTGTGTTTGCAAGCCCCAGTAGAAGTTATTTTCACTGTATTTCCAAGCAGACGTGTGGCTGTATGGTCGAACAACTGCTTGCCATACAAACAACTTGGGTTCGATCTTCACTCGGACCAATATTTTTATAAATATTTTAGAAGAAATGCATTTTGACATCGACCCTGCATATATAGCTATGTTACGCAGTCCAGCTCTGTCGTCACTGCATCACATTGCTGGAATACTAAAACGTAGTGCTGGTAGTGCTACAGTTGTTTTCCCATGCACGATGATCGGGGAAATTTTGTTGTGGGCACGACACTTGGAATTTCTAAGTTCCCACGGTACGACAGTGTTGCGAATTTGACTTTCTCATCCAAGCGCAGGCCGAATGTAGGAGACTATGAACCTGAAAATAATGGGCAATGCTAGGGTGCCAGGGATCGGTCACCTCATTACCAAAATACTTTTTTTCGTTTAGATGAATCTTGTCCTTTTAAAGCGCGACGTTAAAGAGCTTGTTTCGCAGAAATTATGTCGTCGGCATCTGTGTGTGAGCGGAAAAGCTGCGTTGGCCGTGAGCGAAAATTCGAGGTAGAGGCAATGAAGATGGTGTTTGCACTTTGGCCTTCCTTACGGTAAAGTGTGGATCTCCGCCGAGAAAGGAGGGCTTCGTGCTAGCGATTGGGGAGGCGACTGAATGGGTGTTCTTCCGTGTGTAAGTGCATATGTGTATGTGTGTGCGTGTGCTTTTGTGTGAGGTCTAGTGCATGCGTGCAGTGTGTACGCGTGTTCTTCTGTGCATGAGCGTGTGCAAATGTGTGTGTACGTGAGAGCGTGCGCTTGTCTGCCCGTGTGAGCGCACTTGTGTGTGTAGTCGAGTGCGAGCGTGTGCGCGAGTTCTTTTGTGCATGAGTGCGTGCAGGTGTGTGTGGGGGAGTGCACGCGCTCGCACGTGTTTTTTTTGTGCGTACGAATGCATGTCTGTGTGCGCTCTTTCGTGAGTGAGTGTGTGCGAATGTGTTTGTATGTGAGTGTGTTCATCTGTCTGTGTGTGTGGGGGTGTTTGCGCGTGTTTTTGTGTGTGTTTTTGTGCGTGTTCTTGTGTCACTGCATTTTTCCACGCATGAAAAAAAAAACGGCTTTTACGTGTACCTCAAACGCTAGCGTCGTCTATGTCTGTATGCAAATTAACTGCTTGTTGCTCTCAGCCATCATTTTCCACAGAGTTATGAGACGCGTGCCAAACCAGACTGCTTCCCGTAAGAGCACATTTGCAGGAAGCTCCACGCCCGTAGCTTTCCCTTCATTGCTGAAAAATGTTGTCTGCAAGTAATGCAGCTAAGCTTGCGCACTGAAAGCCTCAGTATATCAAGGTACTTCTGCCAACATTCACGATGCAGCTCAGCTGTCCTTAGGATCGTTTCCTTTTTCTGGAAGCGGTCAACAAAAAACTTTTAACAAGTCAGCCGGGTGAGTTCACTCTCCAGTGTGCTTTCTACTCATGTGCTGCACAGGAGGGCACCAAAACTTTTTTGAAAACTGGCTCACGGATGTCTTCGATTCGGTCACTATCATCACGACAGCAGTTGGGGTATGAAGAAAAAGAAAGAGTATAGCGCCAGCCACCATCAATTGTTTTATTATTTGTTTAATTTGAGGCAGTTGGGGGGGGAGGAAAGAAAGTGCACAGCTAACCAGCGATCTGCGGTTTCTATAAAGCGACATTTTCAAGCACTGCAAACCATCCCCTATAGATGGCAAAGGGAAGGAGGGGTAGTAGGCACGCACCCCCATGCCGCGAACGGAGCGACCACGCACCCTTTTGCAATTACGCCTCCTCCGTCCGAATGAGACGACCATTAAAACACCGCCGCGCGCGCCAGATCCAGGTGACCGTGGTCATGCATAAGATAATTTTTTGCTCACAACCAACGATGCTGTCACCAATGCAGATGCCACAATTTCTGTGAAATGAGCTCTTTAACACAATCAATCGCATTAGAACATATTATATTCCATATTGCATCTGCATATATAAACGTTGAAAACCCCTGCCTGATGTATGTGAGGAACATAATGTCAGTGCAGAGACCAATGGTGAATCAGGCTAGTACTGTCGATACTTGTTTATGTTTTTAAGGAATACCTCATCGGCCTCACGAGAAGCAATGCAAAAGAGAAATGAAACAACACAATAAAAACTTAAAATATACACTAAAAACTGCAACCCAAAACATTGGCAAGTAAATAACTAATAATAAGGGCAAATTCAACTATGTATATCTCTTTTTGTTTTTCCGTTACAAACAAAATGAAGTATATGTGGTGGGTATGTTGTGTACAAACATTAGAAGAGTGAAATTCATTGAGAGGATCTATATAAACCTTGGTATACAGTATAGTTAAACGTCCGTATAAGGTCCACCAGTTAAAGCCAACAGCCCCCCTAGTGTTGCTTACCCAACCTAAGAATGGAACTGGGTATGGCGGCGTGGGGGTGCGAGAACGACCAACGTAGATCCGTTTTGATTACATAGCCTGACCTCATTGTGCCAGCTGAGACAATAAACAGAGGGCGGCCGCAGAAAAGAGCACGTCAGAGAAAAGGTCAAGCTGAGCCTCAACACATGTGAGATAGCCCAGGGCAAAGTATACATATGATTTTTTTTTTTTTTTTTTTTTTTTGCAGAGTGTGCAGTGGAGGTCCAATGCTAAAAAGAAAGTGGAGCTGATGGGCATGGAGTCCTGGCTGCTGCTGTCCTACAAATTTTCTCTATTATTCTTCCACTATTTTTTACATTTTCTCTCTTCTCTGTGTGTTTTGTGTATGTCTTTTTTGACCCTGTTTATCTCCATTTCTTTCACTTTCTATTTGTTTCGCAGTCTATCTTCATCTTGACTTTCTCTCTCTCTGTACCCATTTATAAGAGGCATGCTCCGGGCAGCGATTCTTGTCTTTTATATGAGATGTCTCTAATAAGCAGGGTACCACGTAGGCATGAAGAAGACAAGAAGTGATCACGTGCTGGTTCGTGTTAGTGGTGATAGGTTTCTGTTTGCAATAGACGAATAACAGTTGGCTTGAACAGCTCAACAATTAAAATGAAGTTGGATAGACCTCTCAGTCTCACGACTTGAGATAACTATTTCTCTACAGAGTACTGCATTAAAAATGAGGAATAAATGTGCCTAATTTCCACAATATAGAGTGTGCTGTGCACGAAGTCCTTGCTATGCGTACACCAACTCGGGAAATATTGGTCAAAGCATGTCAACTGGTGGACAGAAATTAGGTATAAAAGCAAATCTTATGAAGAAAAAGCTCTACCAGTACACAGGAAGCATTAATACTAAACAAACTGTTTATTTGCTTGTTTATTATTGATAGTGCTAAGCTTAGAGAGGTCATTACAGGAACAGAAATATAACAAGTAAGTACAATGTAATCAAGGAACACGTGCAACATAAAGATGAAGATAATAATTGTGGCGACACTGCTCGCTTGATATATATTCGCAGCAAAAACAAAAAGAAAGCTAAGTCGGTTCTTCCTAAAAAAAAAGTAACGCAGGCTCACAAAGCCTAGTTTCACTGAGACACGCAAGCATGCAGGACAGTAAGAAAAGCAGGACACTCACGGATTGGGCCGAGTGTACTGGGATCCACCTAGGAAGCCATACTTGTCCGGGACAGCCTCGGAAGGGGCCTCGGAGCTGAGAGAGCCATTTCGGGGTCGGCAGCCCACCAGGCTCGTGGCTGTGCTGTCCATGGTGATGTCACTGCCAGCATCTTCATCCTCCTCTCCTCCTTCCCCCCAGCCACCCCATCGGCTTCCCTCCTCCTCACCCAAGGGCCCACTGGCCATCAAGTGTCACCACCAATCAGCTCAGCCCTAAACACCTGCTCCCACTTGGGTTTTGTGCCATCTGGAAAGGACCAGCACAGTTTTTGCTGGTGCAACAACCTTTGCGTACACCATCTTCTCTATCGATATGCCACAACACTCAACCAGATAAGTGATAATGCAACAATCTCAAAGAGTCACCCAGATTGCGTTTACTGTCAAAACTTTGGCTCCAGAGTCACTCCCTGTTCATGAATTTTTCATCTATTCAGGCTTCCATCTTTCCTCGCTTCTGCACTGTTTGGATCTCGGAAAGATTGTCACAGCTAGACATGGTGCAGTTGATCGTCTCTCTACTCTTTTCACTAGTTGCAAAGATTACTTGAGGCGCTCTTCAAAATCTGCCTGTCGTCCTCGATTTTGCCTACCGTGAAATGCCGAGCAAGCACCCCCCCCTCCCTTTTTTGGGAGAACGGGGGGGAAAGCTGAAGTGAGTGCCAAACAAGCGCTAATAACCGGTTTAGGACCAAGCAAGTGCCCCCTTTCGAAATCTGGTCGGATTATTGTTCACCTGGAGGGGTGGGGGGGGAGGGCATTTGTTTGGCATGTTACGACAGTCAGTTTTCTATTTTCCAGTGGCTACGGTAATTCCGTTACCTCTGAAATGATCCCAGACCTTCTTCAAAGATATGTGGCCTTTGTTTATTTGCCTGTGTACACCTGTGTGGTGTTTGCACATACCCTATACAAAGCCTTTTCCTGTGCCACTTTTTGTGCTGCAAGCACAGTACTTTATTATGCCAATGCTTGCCCCGATTTCCTATACCTCATACGTCAAAACTGCCATAGCATGTTTCACACTATAGAGTGCAGATGATGACACGACCTTCAAAAAAAAAAGTAGTTCTACAAGAGATACGTCCAACCATCACGAATCTCCACTGCTATACGACTTCATAACCTCCATTTTTGCCATGCCAACTTCGATCCATTATCCATGCTTCCCTGTACGCTCTCTTTATCAGCAATGTGTACTAAGCAGAGCCTCTCTTGGTTCCTCCAACAAAACAAGTTGCTTATGAAAAGCAGTGGCATGAAATGAAAATGTGAGAAAGAACTAGAAAGTGTGACATAGATGCTCCAGTTAATACCACAAGGAAGATGCACGTGTGCCGGAAAATGTGGTCTACACAGAAATGCAAAGCGAGCTCATGTGCCCGGGAGGCTATTGTTACAACGCCTGCTATCTTTCAGCCTACACGCAACACTTGTGACTCACTGATAACCTTGGTGCACGCTCTTTCATTGCTTTTCATGTACTGCAATCATGATGAACGATAGCTTCAAGTGAAATTTGTTGTATTTTCTTTGTTTCTTTCTGCCACTGACAATCCGAAAAAAATTTGTAGATGTGCAAAGCTGTTTTGTTGCTGCTTCTCCGCTACACTGTATCCTTGAATGGCTGTCCTGATGCAATGATTTGAAGTGAGCGTCTCCGAAATTCAGCAGAGCAATACTAAGCTTGACCGTGGCATACACCCCAATCAACAGTTGCAAAGCACTGATAAAATCTAATCTCCGTAAGCTGAGTTGAGTCATGTCCTGTACACATAAAGGTGAAACTGCCTAGGTCAAAGTGAAAACAGGCACTGATAGCAACATGTAATGTAGGCAAGAGTTCATATAACAAACAGCAATAAATCACAGAAAGTAATCAGAATACTTTTCAAAACAGTTATCTGGATCGTGACCCTGGTGGTTTGATATCAAAATGAATGCATATCTCTAACAAGACATCAAATTGCACAGAAATCAAGGCATGCGTGCTAACTATAGAGCACAATACCAACTGTATATAGTGCAGGAACAACACTGAGACTCCAATAACACCAAGACTGCAAGAAGCAAAATAAATCCTCGTCATAACTGAGGCAAGCATCATATCATAATGTGTGATAGTTGAAGCTTAGTATTTGTTCTATGTCCGTAGACCAGTTACACCATTCATCCAGTGGTTGTAGTCTGATGTTAGCATTAAGTGAATTACCATCAGCATTGTTCTTTTCTGGCAGTAAATTCACAAGCACAAGATCATTATTGTATATAAGAAAGAAAATTGAGTATTGTCAAACGTGTGCAGTTGACCTGTTCCTTGATACCAGATGCACAAATATCACCCAAACAGATAAGGGAAATTGTACTGTACGAATAGTGCACAAGGGTATTGGGGTACTCAGTATAGGTAATTAGACAGAGACTGCCATTTTGTTTTTAGACTTCGAGTTATACCGGCTAACATTATCTATGGGAAAGGTGGCGTGACACTGCAGGTATGTGAAGCGTGAGCTGAACTAGACATTTAAAGGGACAGTAAATAGGAAAAAAAAAGAAACATTTCTCCAATTCCAAAATGACCGTTCTATATTATCAAAATGCAACTCTCGCCACAAGAAGACAATTAGTAAGCAAGACAATCTATCAAGAAAAAATACAGGTTACAACAGCTGCATTGAGGTTCAAACAAAAAAACTTGTGCCTACAAGGGCCCATGTAATGTTTTACCAGTACATTGACGACACAGTGCTCAAAGGGAGTGACAGACACAGCACAGCAAGTTTTATGACGGCTATTGTGTCAATGAGGCTGCAATACAAGGAAGAAACAGCTGAAATAGCTGATGTCAAAGAATTTTATGTTTCACTCCCATGGCAAATGTTTCAGCGACAAGAAATGGCAACATTTCATCTTACGAATTCAAGCATGTCAGCAGCTTTTTACAATAATTTATTCATTTACACAGTAGAGCCATATGCGCAAGCATGCCATACTCTTGTTTCCTGTGACTATGAAATCAAAGAGTGGCGTGAAATTGACACAGTGTGCTGTCTCTCGAACATTTTCAGCAACATAAAGCTACTTTGTGTTCATGCTAGACATACTGACCTTACCATCAAGAAGAGGAACACCTTAAAAAGAAGAAAAAGAAAACTGACATTTATATGCTCTGAAATACTGCTGCAGGTCTAGGTCATTGACTGATTGGTTGATATGTGGAGTTTAACGTCTCAAAACCACCATATGATTATGAGAGACACCGTAGTGGAGGGCTCCAGAAATTTCGACCAGCTGGGGTTCTTTAACGTGCACCCAAATCTGAGCACACGGGCCTACAACATTCCCGCCTCCATCGGAAATGCAGCCACCGCAGCTGGAGGTATAGGTCGTCAAATCAGAACAACAAAAGTGCTTAAAGGTCTCCAGGCTGCAAAGCACCCCATACATGCACCCCAGAGATGTGCTTATACAGTCGCAATAGTTGGGTCTTATAATCAACAAGTTTTTGTACTTGACATCAGTACACTTCTTGTGCAGATCAGCTAAAAGCCTTTGCGAGAGATGCCCCATTATTTTTGGATAACCCAGCTACAGAAAAAAAAATGTTTTCACGCCAAAACAGCATTATCTCGCACACATACACTTGTCGAGTGAACAGGGAATACAAGGCGACAAAGTCACCTGTTGAATGCTTCGAATTCCCAGCACCGCGTTTTCGAGAAGAAGACGTCGTCAAACTCTAGGTATTCTCCGATTCTTTTCCGACGAGTGCGAACAGGAAATGAGCGGCGCAAACATGTCGTACTTACGTAGGTACACCTCGAATATGCGACATCGGGAGGCTCCCGCTCTGACGTGGGCGTGCGCTATTTATCAACCGCGACGACTGCTCACCGCTCTCTTCGAGCAACCATTAAGCCAAGTGGCAATTCATTATGCGTGGCGGACAGTTATGTTCGCGTAATCGATCGCATCGACAACATATTAACACTTACTTTTTTTTTTTCGGAAGCGAGAAGCAAACCTTAGCGGTGGACTAACTAGAGCAGAACGTTTCGAGGGAAAGTGTTCCTGTAGACTCGTTCGGAGCAAGCGATTTTCGTTCCCGAGATTGCCGTAAGGTACCGCAACGAACCGCAGATAAGCATTGCGAAAAACGAAGCTCCCAACACTATTTACCGCTTCCTCTAAAACATCACAAGTTAGTTATAGGCTTTCAGCGCATGCCACAGCGAGTTTTCGCGAGAGAGATACGAACAGAGCCGCTTACATTACGCTTTTGTTTTTGACGCCTAGAAGCGACGGCGACGACACAGCTGCTTGAATCGGCGCCGTCTCTCAGCCGCGATCACGGCTCTCAGGTGTCGAGAACTGCCGTTCCGCCGTGTTGCCTCGCACTGAGTCGACTGGTGACACCGTTATGTAGCGCAAAACAATGTTCGAACTGCCTGACCAACTCTAAGCAAAAGGAAGTCGGCGGCATGTTTGCAACATTTCGACATCACGGTCGATCGCGAACCGCGGTTTTATTAAGCGACCGACGACTTCTTCGAGTACACGAGCAATTCCGCTGTCACTGCGAGAACTCAACGACGTACGGCTCCCTCCCAAACGAACGTGCCAGGAAGCAAGGTTTGCGATTACTTTACAACTACACCCCGTGTTGCGGACTTGACGGCGTTTCTTGTGGAGAAGTGGTGCTCGCGAGCGGAATACATATTTCAAGGAGGTACTTACACAGTTCGGTAGCTGCTGCTTCTCTAAAAGTATAGGTCGAGGCCTGCAGCAGGGACTGGTTCAGCGAAAAAGAGGGACTTCCGCGAACAACTCCGGACGGACAAATAAGCACGGACGATCTACTTTAGTAGAAAACAAAAAACGACAACAAACCGAAGCGAGGTGATGCACTGGCAATGTGGGTGATTACGACAGTCCTCAGGTAATCTTGGCAGAAGGCATTGTCAATGGCACAAAAACAAAGTAAACAAACGTCGTAAATCTACTTAACTTTTATTTTTATAACTTCAGACATAAAGTAATAAGTAATTTTTAAATACTTTGATACCACTGCAATGGAACTTGAATTGGCGCAAAGTTTGAAGCTACGCCTTAACAACTTACGGTGTGTGTAAAAAGCAACGGCACCCTTCTGAACGAACGAGTGTGCTTACATTACGTTTGCACGGGCAACGTCAGCCTACTTTCTTACATAGTGCAAATACACTCCAGACTGATACGCAGATTTATCGCGCGCACATTTGGCAATTTAGATTCAGGTTGCGCTTTGCAAAAGACCAAATCCATATATATTTTTTTTTTTCTAAAAAATGAAAGTGGGATGCGGGGCGCTGATCAGGCAAGTGTTGTAGAATGCCATGTAAAATGCACTGTTTGCCAACGTTACACTTCGCCATGGTCATAGAGTTTCCTAAATTTACTCTATGGTACACTGTACACGTAGGAAGGAAAGGTCTTTCCTTCCTACGTGGTGCCAAGGTTAGGGAGGCTATGGTAGTAAGTACACTGTAACCCCACAGAACAGCAAGGCTAGAGTGAGAGCCTTTTGCGGTGAACTCCCGCATCGCGGCACTGCCGTGTCGGACGACAAGGGAACAGGACAGATCCGGGGCAAGGAAGACTGACCCAGCTCATCGAGAAGACCCTTGAGAAGGTGCTCTCCAAGAGATGGCCCACTCTGTAAATGACGTACAGGGGGCCGACGGAGCGGTGTGAACGCGTGTGCGACGTCGACGGAAGAATCAAAAGCACCAACTGCTCTGTAGAGTGGGCTTCCTAAATATGAACGGTGCACGACGTGCGCTGAAATGGGAAGAGCTCTATTGTACTATGACCGCAGAGCATATGCTGCTCTATGCGGTAGCTGAAACGCATCTCCGCGAACTTGAGGAGCCACTCATCCACCCCGAGTGGAGATGGGAGGGCAAAAACAGAGCTGGTCATTGTGGAAAAGGAGGTGGTGTGGGCTTCCTGTGGCGCAGAGAACAGCAATGGCAGCGAGAGGACAGAGACTGTGCCGACCATATGTGGATGACGGGCGACTTGATGGGGATACCATCGGCAGTGTGTGTGGTGTATATGGCTGTCCAGGGAGCACATTATGCGGAAAACGAGCGACTGTTGGAGTGTGTTCCTGAAGACGCGGAGCGCCTTGCAGGCATGCAGGGAAGTGCTCATTCTGGGCGACTTAAATGGCCATATTTCCGAGTTGGATGGATATACAGACGAATGGCAAACTGCTCATCCAACTGTCAGAACGTCTCCAGCTGGAAATCTTCAACAATATTCCGCGTTGCGATGGTCAAACCACTTGGTGTGTTCGAGGAAGCGCCACATCTATCGACTACGCTTTGGCATCTGATGGACTGCTGAAAGTCCTCCAGCGACTCCACATAGATGAGGAGGGTACGCGCATCATCGGGAGCAATCACAATCGACTTCGGCTGGATTTCTCTAAAGCCTATCACCGAGAGCCAAATACAGAACGAAGGGTGACTCCTACTAGGTACCTGCCGGGCGACTCACTTCAAACAGTGGCGGAGCAATTCGAGGCGAGCCCGAAAAGAGAAGAAGCTAAGACATACGAGAAGAGCTAAGACATACGAGCTAAGACATATGTCAGAGCTATGTCGCATCATCGAAATGTATAAGGTTTGTGGCGGCACAAGACCTGCACGCCACCACAGAAAGCCCTGGTGGGACAAAGAAGTTACCGCAGCATGGAATGCCCGGCGGGAAGCAAATCGCTCTCATCGTCGAGCTGTCAAAACGAAGGACGCTGTACAAACTGACGTCGCGTGGCAGCGCTACTTTCAGTTCAAGCGCGACATGCAGGCCCTAGTGCAGGCTAAACTTGCCAGGTTCAATGCGTTGTTCCTGCAGAAGTTGAAGGCAGAGGGCGGGAACGCGGCCCAGAAATTCTGGAATTGCGTTCGAACATTGGACCGAAGCGAGGCAGTCTGTACAGTTCATTGTAGACAGCAACGACAACCCTACCCAGGACATGAAGGAGGCCTTGACGGGGCACCTAGAGGCTCCGTATGGTTCACGGGGGTGCACGAGGGACCTCCAGTTGGATGAAGGAGACCCCCTCTATTAACTCAGTGTGGTTAATAGAGGACTGAACAGGGTTCCCCAGAGGAAGCCCTAAAATGGGAATTCAGTCATATCTCTATAGACAGTGCTTTGTCCCATCTCCGAGCCCAAACAGCCTCGGGGCCAGATTGCATGCCCATCTCGCTTACTTAAGTGCTTGGGGCAGGAGGCGAAAGAACGGCTAGCTGGCCTGTTCAGCGACATCGTTGCGGGAGCGGCCATTCCAGACGACTGGCATCGGGGCAGAGTCTCACTCATCATCAAGCGTGGAGGCAGGGCAGGGAACCTTCAAGATTACCGACCACTCACAGTCACCAGCATCATGTACGGGCTCTTTACCATGTGCTTAAGGACTAGATCAGTGGCTGGGCTGAATCTAAAGGGCGGCTGACAGAACTGCAGAATGGTTTTCGCAGAGCTCGACGGCTTGAGGATAACCTTTTCGTCCTCATGCAGTGTGTGGAGATCGCCAGAAAATGGAGGCGTACGCTTCTATGCTGCTTCATGGATGTGGAGAAAGATTACGACAACGTCCCACATGACATCCTGTTCACACGCCTGGAGCTACCGGGAATGCCGAAAGAGCTGTTGGCGACAGTCAGACGCCTATACGCCGGCAATAGCGTCATTGCACGCTTCGCCAATGTAGAGAGTCGGCCGGTAGGCGACTGCAGGGGTCTCCGTCAGGGATGTCCGCTTTTGCCGATTCTATATCTGCTATACGTGTCGGGCATGGAACAAGCATTGCTCGAGTCCGGCCTGGGGTTCCGTCTGAAGTATAGCACAAGCGGAATCGACGAAAATCGACGGCTGCCTGGCTTGGCATTTGCGGATGATGTAGTTCTAATGGCGGAGACCATAGTGGACCTGCAGGCTCTCCTGCACATCTGTGTCACAGAGATGACTGAACTGGGACTACGCTTCAACGCCAAGAAAACCAAGGCTATACCGTTCGTGGGCAACATGGCTGAGGCGGCAGACCTCAAGCTAGGAGGTGAGAGCATCGCCACTGACACTGCCTATAAGTACTTAGGCGTGCTATTGTGCTCCTGAGGACATATATACGGCCAGCAAGAAGTCCATGTCCGCCAAGTCGCGCTGCGGGCACAGTGCATCTTCCGGCGCCGCATATTGTGGGGCTGCAACTGTTTCATCATGATCCGGGACCTATGGAAACTCGTCCACGTTACCTTGCTTGACGTTCGCAAATGCAGTAGTCTGCATGACGGCAGCAACTAGGGAACGGTTAGAGCGACGACAGCGAGAAGTAGGCCGCACGGCGCTCGCATGCCATGGAAGGGTGGCAAATGAGGCAGTCCAGGAGGGACATGAGCTGGTCTGGTTTTGAAGCTCGGGAGGCATCCAGCAAGCTAACGTACCGGGGCCGCCTGCAATTCATGAGTCGAGACCGGTGGGCACGGCGGGTATTTCAATACCTTTCGGCAACGTGCGTCCGTACAACATGGGTGAACCGGGTGTATCGCCTGGAACAGAAGTACATAACCTTTATGGAACCTGTACAGGCTGAAACCGCAAGGCGATATACCAAGGAGTGCGAGAGCGGGTTCGTGAGAAGGAGAGGGAAGTGTGGCGGCACGCAATGAGTGTCAAAGCCACCCTCGAACTATACCGAACCTACAAGGACACCATCGACACAGTTCGTTCGTACGACAATGGCACCGGGAGCTCACTTCTTTTCGAGGCTCGCGCAGGCGCGCTCCGAAACCCTCGCATACAGAAAAACGTTCGACAACGCGGTGCTTTCGGTGTTGTGTCCGCGTGTGGCAGTGCGGAGGAAACAATTGCGCACATTGTGCTCGAGTGCGGCCAAACAGGCCTCCCGGGGACAGAGCCATTGCACACAGCGCTGGTCTTTGCGGGTGATGATGGTGTGATTAATCCACAAGCAGTGAAGGAGACGATGCGGCGTCTCGAGCGCTGCAGGGCAGTGGTTGTCTCACAGCGAGCGAAAGCACTGGGTGGCGCAGTGCAGTGGCAGTGTAGCAGGGGTTACGAGCTCGAGCAGAGCGTGATTTTGTGTGTGTGTGTTTCACCGATTTATATGCTAGGGTGCCACTACACCCGCCCGCTAAAGAAAATGTATAAGCATCAAATCATCATCATCATCAACAACAACAAGTAGATGGAGACGGCTAATAACGACTCTGTAATACACTGGTAGTAGGTGTTCTGTGGAGACGTTGGATGGATCGTATGAGGCACGAGAAGCCAGGAGCAAGATAGCCTACGAGGGCCACCTGCGTCTCATGAATGACAACAGGTGGGCAAGACGCTTGTTCCAATACACCAGCCTGACTGGAATAACGACACAGTGGACTGCGCGGGTGTGCACCCTGCGCCGAAAGTTTGGTTTCTTCGCGAATCCCGTGAAGGCAAGCACAGAGTGCGGATGGGCCCGTGCCGTCCAAGAACAGGTACGGGAGGAAGAGAACGAGCAGTGGCGGAGGGCGATGCGTTCCAAGGCAACCTTGACGGTATATTGAAGTTGCAAGAATGAAATAGAAAAGGAGCGCATGTACGACAACAATGGCGGCAGTGGCCTTCTGTTCGAAGAGCGGGCTGGGCCACTACGAACCCTTGTGCACCGTCGCCGATTCGACGAGAATACCGATGACACGAGTGCGATGTGCTGGGTGTTGCGGGCAGGAAGAAGAAACCATCCCCCATCTAGTGCTACGCTGTACGTGTTCGGGACCACACCAACGAAAGGGCACCACACTGCCCGAGGCTCTGGGGTTTGTTCACAAAGATGACCCGGGGCCACCCGC